TATTTCTTTATTTATCGCAAGCCATATTGTCATGGCAGTATTGAACAATGTTATTGCACATTGCAGATTTTCCTCATATCGTGTAGACCTATTACACAGGGGCTTTTGACTTCACTTGAGTGCATGAATAGGCATTTTACATATTTTGTTGTTAAGCCCCACCCTCTTTTTATATTGTTGATTGTAATTGTTTGAGATATTTAGATTAGTGGCTCAAATGATCCTGTAGAGTGAGGGGTTTACACACAAAATCTTAATGTTACAGTCTGGATTGGAATCTCCCTGATTTTGAATTCTAAATATCAAGCAATCTTTGATATTTAAGACTTGAAATCCTTTAGTGTAAAACTAACAGCGGTAGCCGCAAAACCGCAATAGCCAATGAGAGCGAGCTGACCGGGAAGCGTCACCAACTGGGTGTTGCACACTTGTTTAGAACAGAACCAAATCAAAAATGTATAAGCAATGCTGATTCTATCTTCTCAGCCTTGACCTCCTCCTTTTTTTTTAGTTCAAAAGATAGCTCTCACAAGTGCAGCCAGCTCACAACAATAGTCCCCATCCATGTTTTATTTTTTTCTGAAGTCATGTTTGATCATGCATGTTTCTGAGATCACTAGTCCCTTGAGTCGCCAAGTGTATTGTATTAATGCCAAGTGTGTGGTCCTGCATCTTGTTCTTACAATTATAATATTATAAAATAGGTTAAATCTGTCGTTATGTCTGTGGTGTCCCCCTTTTTTAAAATCAGGTAAGATTTGAAAATCCCCTAGTGTGCACCAGGCATTAGTCTAATAATTCAATCTATTTTTTTCTTCTCTCCGTGTGTTATTGTTCCACAGGGAGTTGTCAGACAAATGGAAGGAGTGAGAAAAACACACACAACCTTAATCAGAGCAATGTCCTCCTACCCTTCACTAAATCAGTGGTGGGACCAAGCAGTCACACCGTGGCTGATGGTAGAGCTCGGCCTCTATGAAGCCAGTGAAGTTGTAACAACTTTTCTAGCACATCATAAACTAATACATCAGTCTTATAAATGCTACAAATGTACAGCACATTGTTTGCATGTGAACATATGACCTATCTATATTAATAGTTCAGTTTCACTAAATTTAGAGGTGACAATTGTGAATATGAAAACTGTGCCATTACATGCGCAGCCCCAAGATCAGTGTATGTGTTTGGCGTACCTAAATTGCATGTCAAAGTGACAGGGCTGCCTGACTTTGGCCGAATCCTTTGTTCTATAAAGCAGTACAAGACCTACAGCTCAGAGCTCTCGATTTCATTGCTGAGGAAAATTCACTGAGGACGTGGACCAGATATTAACGAGTGCAAGTTTGTCTTTATCAATACTGTCAGCAAGTGTCAGCATATTGCTGACATAAGAGAATCATTAGAATGTAAGACTGTAGGAAGCAGTGAGCACACAATGTGTCTGACTTTCAAATCAGTGACTAAATCAGCTGTAGTGCACAGGAGAGCTGCACAGAGCAGGCTTGCTAGCGTGTGGCAAGATCTAAATTAGTGTTTTAAAATGATTATTTTTTAAGACACTTATATTGTATTTCTTTTTGTATTTCTTTTTTTTAACAATTCCTTTTTTTTTTCTTTTCAACATTTTATACTACATCACTTTTTCCCCAAACTAATATGAACTAGTATAATATGAAGGGCACTAAACAAGACAACAAAATGAGACTGATATATGTAGCATGTCTACTTATGATCTAATACATTTATGAGAATGAATACAAAATTATGAATTTTAATATTCAGAGAATATTAATTCATAAAGCTCTCATTTCGCGGGGCACCACCGGAGATTTAATTCACCCAGAGTCTCTGGACCTCTGGGTAGCGTTTTAATAATTATAAAATTATTCACTAGTGATCAGTTAGTTAATAATCGCTCAATTATCTTCAGTCAGTCTCATATCGAAGGGGTAAATTCTCATGACAGGGACTTGGAGTTAAGCAATACACACACACAATTCCTGTGATTACGGTGAAATTTATTAACTAACTAAGGGTGAAATAAATGCGGTTAAATACACATCAAAGAAATAGGCAATGGCTAAACAAACATGGCAAACAAGAATGTGGAGTTCTATGTAAATGGGGTTCTCTTGTGGGGAGAATTTGATTCAAACGGGCAGCTAATGAACGCAAGCTATGAGTTTAAAAGTTAACTATTAGACATCACTGACCACAGAATGCAGGGTTTTGGTCTTACTGCTTGTTGTTTCTCCCAGCCGGGTTGCTGGTCGGCGGCCTCACGCTGGCGGAGTTCCGTGCGTTCTCGGTTAGGATAGCTTAAAGCCGTCGGCCCGTCGCTTTCTATGTCACTGAATTGCTCCGGAGGTCCGTCTTTTGTCGGCTTATTGAAGAAACTTGCAGTGGGGGGCCTTTTCAACCCTGGCTCGGGTTAGAAGTTTGGTCCTTTGTTACTGCTGGCGGGCCCACGTGGTTCGGTCGTCGGTGGGATCAGTGGAAGTTAGCTCGACGCATAAAGCTTAAAAAGAACTTGGTCGTTCTTGAATTAAAATGGTGTAACTTAACCGTCTGATAACCTTTTAATAAAACAAAACCAAAGAAAATAAAAAAAAAAAACAAGTAAGTTGCTGGAAACGAGGGAAAAAGCCGAGCTTGCGGCTCTTCGCGTGTGGCGCTTAAAACGAACAAAGAGCCTTCGCTGTGCCGGGTCAAACATCTTAGGGCGTTCCCTGGAGACAGGGCACGCTGGGCGCGTGCCGAAGTGCAGTTGAAGAGAACAAAACAAGAGAGCGAACAAGATGTGTGTTGCTGTTTTTGTTTGTTGAGGCGTGGTTCCCAGAGGGCAGTCCTTTGTTCCCCTGAGGGCTTGTTTCCGGTTTCCTGAGAAACTGTCTTTTCTTTAAACTTTTAATATGTCTATTCAAAAATCTATTTGCGCATATTGTAATCAAATATCTTCCCACAATCAAACCTTAATTGTCAAACGGGTATACCGTTCTTAGTTTTAAGCATTTGATAAAAGGAAAACAATTGTCAGTAGTTCAACCTTAAGGTTAGCATTTCCTAGGAATCACATCAGATGAGAGGAACTTAACTAGCTTTCTGGATATATTGGCTGTTACATGTTCTTACTTAGAGAATATAAGCAAGATACACGAATGGCATCAGATTATGATCAGGTAAATACAGAGTGACATTTATACATTAAACGGCATTTCAGAACGATGGCATGCAATACTTATTTTGTCCACTTGGGGGAGCTCTGGTTACATGAAGATAGCTTAACATTAATTCGAGCTGGAAAATTACTCGAGTAGTATAGGATGACATTTCTTTATCATATCCTTTCTAAAGAAAATGTCATAAAGTGTTGGGAACAAAGCATTGGTTACAACATAAAATGAGGCAATGTCAGGTGACCTTGCTGAAAATTAAAACACTACAAAATTAACTTACTTAGATTCTTTTCAACAACAACATGGTAACATATCTACTAACCTCAGAGGCAAACGCCACTACTAACTTAGCAAGGATTATTATTGAATTATACGTTTATAATGAAACATTGTTTTAGCTCAAGAAGGCAGGAGTTGTTCGTGTCCGCCTTCCGCATTCCTGGCTTATCACATTTGCACATCGGCTAAAGAGAGAAGGGATTGGTGTTTTATGGCTCAGCCATTCTGTAGGGAAAGGGATCAGAACGGGTGGTACTTTTGATGTCCGGAGGTGACCTATGGAGAGAGAGGGGCCGGACAGCCCCTTTGCTGTACTGCTAAGTGTCTCCAATGACACCTTTATGGCGAGAGGGGTTCACTAAGGCTCTTTGAATACACAGTCCTTAAGCGATGCATGTCTGAGTCTCTGCAGATCCTTACCAAACCCCAGGTGAGATCCCAGCTAGTTTTTGCATGTCAAAAAGCCAACTCCAGGGGAGGACCCCCCCCCCCACACACACACACACACACACACACCTTTTGGCATTATCTGACCTCACCTCCCTCTTGAGGTGAGAGGCTGGTTGATTCCACTACATAGACAACATGCAAATGATATCCAGCAATCGAATGTAATAAAACTACCACTGTGGTTGCATTGTGGAGTTCAGCGTTTAATGCCAGTGCGTCAGTAGTGGAAATGTACCTCTGCAAGTGAGTTCAGTGGCAAACAGCCCTTCCCATCTGGATGGTGGATGACAAAGACTTCAAATGTTATTGCAAACACGGAAGCGGTGTTGAAAAGAGAACACCCACGCACACACATTTGCATGACCACAGTCTAAACTTTGTATTGACAGTGTGTGAACATTCTCATATACCTGCTATCTGTTTTTCTTCCCTTCCACTGGAGGCTGTTTTCACTGCAAATCACTAGCCAGGTACATCATTCTGTCACAGGTGTCAGGGCTAGGTTTTCAGCTGTACCAACACAGGCCATGATTTACATGTCATATCAGTAACGCCTTAACCTTTCTACCATATAACTGAATTCTGTTGGTTCCTTCGCTTCTACAAAGCAAGGACTTGATATTTTGACTCAAGTATTCTATAATAAATACGGTCAAACACCATGTTGCTTTAGTGTTCTATTCCAGCTTGACAGTGGACTCTATGTCCCTGTATAGGGGACTCCATTGCTAGTTACTACCCTTTTGCATTTTGTCTACTACAATGCAATGGATAACTAAATCTCACTAGGTTGCATTTATCATTGTGCACACTTGCACAACCTGATGATTTTTGCAGTACTGGATTCGCTTGAAACTAGCCCCATCATATATTGGGCACTTGACTATATAGTGCCTATAGTACATATGTTATCGTAGGTGCTTGTTCAAGATTGTTAAGTGTTTATATAGTGGCCTGCCATTGTAAGTTCCAAATAGTTTAAATCCTTGTGCAAACCTTACCACTAAAAGAAACTGTACTTTATCTGAATTTGTTTCTTTACCTCTTCTCTGTCTGCTAACACCCCCTCATTCGTTTTCTTCTTGGGTTTTTCAGAGAATGATGAGACAGGTGTGATGGATAGTTTGCTGGAAGCTCTACAGTCAGGAGCTGCATTCAGAGACCGCAGGAAGCGAGCACCAAGACCCAGAGGTGAGTCTCATATCCTGCATTTATACCCAAACAAAGGTGCACACATAAAACTTGAAGTGAAGTGTCTGAAAACTGGGAATGACACAATTCTGGTCCTAACCTGTCAGCTGGGTACATGTTTTTCTTGTTTTGTTTTTAAAAGCTGAGTAAGTTGAATGAATCTGCTGGTTCTCATGCCTTGGATCCAAATTCTCTCATTCTCAGTCACTTGCAAAATACACCAGTTTGTTGTTTGCACACATGCTTGCTAGCAGCTCAATGCCAGAGAATCCTCAGCCTGACATAATTACTAGAACTATTTGATGATTGGATCTCAGTAAAAGGCAACTTAAACCAATTTTTTTCCCTCTAGCAGTCCAAAATCAAAAAACAGAACACAACTTTTTTTGATACATTGCCTATTCAACTTTAGGGGCAATTGCCAGATGTTTTCTTAAATAGTACTACTTGTTAATGAACTTCACAGCTCTTCTTCATCTTGTGAATGCCTCCTCGTGATCATGTTGATCCCTCTTAGTACTGTATGTGTTGGCATTATTTGTCCACTGCCCTCCTTACAGAAAACCAGCAGCTGACGATCAGCCCCAGCTCCTTCCGCCAGGTTCTCAGGCCTGTTAACCATGGTAAAGCAAAACATAAAAAACCCTCAAAGCTAAAGCCTCATGCATGCTCAGCTCTGTATTTTATCTGCTGCTGGAAACCAGTCTCAAACATTTCTTGCATGTAATGCGAATTCCTCTTGACAGTTCATATGTTCTGCCTTTTTGTGCGTCCAGTGACCTTTTCATTTGTCCCTTTCCCTCTTTGTGACCTTGTGTGTGTGCCTTCTGAAAGTGTGAAAGGCCAGTGCAAAACAGTTTGAGGCAGTGCGATGTGCAGACTGTGAGAGAAGCAGGGTTGAGATTCTTTGAAAGCAGTATGTAGGCTGTTCTGGCCGCTCAGTTTGTTAAGTTTCCTAAATTGTTCTGTAACTCCAGCACTTTGACTTTAACTCTATGCAGTTGGGATCATCAGCTTTCATATTTTTTTAATCTGTATGTAAAGGCAGCAGTCTATTCACATCAATATACCAGTCAAGTGTCCTAGAATATTGTGGCGAGAATAACATATTTTTTTTGTTTTGAACTTCTTCTCACTGCTGACCTATGTACTGTACCTTTTTGAAGAGTGCTGAGGCACCAATATCAAACACACAGAATAAATGTTGTGTTAGAAATTGGATCTAAGCCACTCGTAGTGTCAAGTGTTCAGTGTTATCATTTAGAAACTCAGTGTTAATATTTTAACGTAAAAAGGGCAATGGTATGACTTCCTGGGAGTGAAGATCAGATGGGGTATTAATTATACTAAATTAAATTGCCCTATATTATTCATAGTTGTGAACAGATATTGTGCGTTATTTTAGCTGTTGCTAAAATAAACAACAGCTTTCTTCTCTTGACAAAGGCTTTCTACAGTCATAACTGAAGCACTTAAAAAATTACGCCGTAACCCTATTACCTCTTATTACTTGTAATTGGAATCCTAGTGGGCTGGGTACAGACACACATGAATAAAATTATTCACGCTCAATCCACCCACATCATTGATGGCAATGATAAAGGGCCCTGCTCTGTTGTTCTGCTACGACTTATCTGAAATTAGATTGGAAAGGGACGAGGGGGAGGCAGATATACAGGGTGGGAGGAAAGAGACAGATAGAGGTGGCTGTAACATAAGAAATGGAGAGAAATGGTGTGAGGAAGAAAGATAGAGCCAGTTGGTAAGGGTGAAACTAAGGAATAATGTGGGAGAAAAAAATTGGACGCAGACTCATTTGTCTGTGTGTGTGTGAGAGAGAGTTGGTTAACATAAGAGTGAACAGGGCTATGTTGTATTAGCAGGGGATTAGACTAGAAGAGAAATTACAGTGAGTGCATAAAAGAGCTGCTGCTCTGTGTCCATGTTGTGAAAAGACCCCATAGTGTGTTGTACAGGTAAGAAGGTCCTAGAAGGTCGCTGGTCCAGTTGCCCCCTGCTGGCAGCTTCAGGCATAGCCTTGTTGACTAATAATAATCAAGGCTTTAGCCTGTCACTGTAGGCATCATACTCACTGCCAGCCTCCCAGAGCGAGCACAGCTAATTACTTTTCTCTGGCCAGCCCCAGCACCAACTCAGCCCTCTCAGTGCCCATTCATCTTAATTTTCCCCTCTCTGCCATCTGCCTCCTAAATAACACTCCTCCTCATTTCCCTACCATCCCATATCCCCGCTGTCTTCTTCTATACTCTCATCGCCTGGCAATGGCCCTCCCCAAACGTAATTGCCTGTTATTGGTATGGAGTCTTTCCACTTCTCCTGCCTCACCCCTTCATTCCCATTTCCCGTCTCCTTCTCTCCCATGGAGATCCAGGCCTTAATTGCCCTGGATTTAGTCACTGGAGTGAGTGAAACCCGCAGGATGCTCTCTGTTTAGTTGGGTGGTGATGAAGTTTAGTCTGCGGCACAAGCACTTAAACAGCTGCTTTCACTTTCACTCCACCCAACCACCTCCTTTTCCCACAGTTTTAAACACCCTTTAATAATTGATCTCAGGGGTGTTGCTACCGTCTAGTGGAGCAGCAAAGAGAATTAAAACGGAAACATCTGGGCCAGAAGATACTGTAATTAGTGGTGAAGGGGAGAGATTTGAATGGTCAGTCGGAACATGGCGCCATTAAGCTTTCGCACAGAGGGAGACTCAAGTGCACCAGTCTGTTGTCTGCAGAAACAAATCAGATGGCCAAAATATTGTGTTCCCCATTACAAGACTTTGATGACACGCTGGAGTACTAAGATAATGTCTTTGAAGCACTGTAGCTATTATCCAACTTCTCTAGCGCCTCATCAAAGTCTTGTGATGGGGAACACGCAATAGAAAATAGGTTTAAAAGATTCCTTGCAGGTCTACTCCTCTGTTGCACATCAAGGGGCCCACATTGTTCCCTTTCCTTCTTTTTTTCCCCCTACCCCTCTTACTTACTGCTCCCTCTTTTTGTACCCTTTTCTTTGAGTTAGGGTCCTGGCCTGGGCTCCCTGCATTTGTCTCAGCCTCCCCTGTCTCTCCTCTCCTCCCTATACCCCTAAATTGGCTCAGCACACTTTTACATGAGCCAGCAACTAAGGTGTTTAGCTCAGTCTCCCTCAGCACAAATACACACATACACATAAAAGTACACAGACAGACCTGCAGACTTCAGGGGATGAAGGTAAGCAGGCTTTGTGGTGGCTGTGGCCTGGGTTAGGATAAGGCTGCAGGGCTCCGGGGCTCCTCAGCACTCTGAATGGGATTGGGCTCTACAGAATGACGGATCGATGGTGGTTAGCCATAAAGGTGTAAGAGACTCAAATCTGCAAATTGAATCTCTAAAGCATCCGCAGCTTTCTAACTATGTCCTTTTGAAAACATCTGTCCAGGAACTTTCTGGTCATTTCAGTCTTCTTTGCAAGCCCTCATCATAGCCTCACTGCCTCCCAAGCTGGCGTGTGCATGTATGTTGAGCGGAATCACATAGCCACACTTTTATTTTTTTTAATTGACAGTTTGTGTTTGACAGAGCGCAGGAACCCCCAAAAGTGTAAGATAGCACAAGCCAGAGGTGCATTATGTGCATGCTATAATGCCCTTGTCAAGGAATGATCCACTATGGAGAGAGAGTGTGGGGAGGAACAGGATCTATTAAAAAGTAAATGTCTCTGTCTTTAGGAGCAATTAATTCTGATGTCTTAAGTGAAACCCGACTTAACAATTATCATCTGTGATATAACTCTGAACTAGAGCTTGAAATTGATATAAAGCTCACTTCACAAAGTTGGTGAACCCCTTCATCAAATGGAGTTATTTTTCCGTACTTGCACTTGAAAGCGTTATGGTTTTCACCCTAAAAGCAAGCCTCTAGTTATTGGAGATGCTATGTATTTGCAGAGTCAACTTTATGACCCTTTTTGCTGAATTTATGTTTCTGTATATAATGTCGGATCCTTGGTTCATGCAGGCCACTTTAAATGGCTTGGGTAGAGGTGAGAATGGCAGCAGGAGATGACTAATAGGCTTAATTTGAGACTCAACCCACGATGTCTCTCAAAGGTAGTGCTGCAGAAAATCATCCAACTATGTAGGAAGAAATCTCTGTATGTCTGTCCTTCGACTTCACACTGGGCGGGTGTATTGCTGAGGACCCAATGGAGTGCCGTGTCGAGTTTGAATGGTATGAGTGTTTCTTGAGAATGCCGCAAGCAGCCATACCGTGGTTACCGACAACAGCATGAGCAGCTCTTCCGGAGGCCAAACAATTGGCCTGCTCTGAACGGGCATGTGTTTCAAATGGCCACGCGCTCCAAAGGCGCACACCCTGCAACGTTGCAATAAGAGGGAGCCAATCAGTCGGCCCCTTGCAAACAGCCACAGTAGAATCAGTTGTTAGATGCTTGCCATTTTGGTTGGGCCTTGTGATATGTGGATCCCACTGCAGGCAATTGTGTGTGCTTTTTCATTCCTCTTTCATATTTGTCTCTTCATATCAATGTCAATTATGAGAGAACGCTTCCCATCCTTCCTCAAGTTCCTCAGTCTACTCTTTACTTTTTGTCTCTGCTTTATCTCTTCCCATGCCTTGCTGCTTTTCCCCCAGACATGACATAAGCAGAAAAAGAAGGGGTTAATAAATCATTTCAGCGGGCCCAAAAACAAAAACAGCAGCTCAGACGTTCTCCTTGCGAGATTTATTTGAATTGATGCTACATGTCACTGTTTCAAAAGTGTAACTGTAAAAGTTGCTGATTTATCTGCATTTGGTCATAATATATCACCCACACATCACATACTGCCCGTGCTTTTTTTCATTAAAGTGACAGATTATCGCCAAAGAGCTTCTGTTCTTGAACACCAAGTGTTCACTCCTCCCACTTTGTACACCCTCATCCATACATGCATAGAAATTGTCAGCTTAAACCCTGTGTTTTTAATGATGTGCAGGCAGAAGGTCAAAGGCCGCTCCTGGGTCAGGGCATTAGCTGTGTCTGAGAGTTAAACAGGTGTACTGCTCTCTGTATTCATGTCTGCAATCATCTGGCCACTTTGAGTCACAGTGTCTCTCTTACCGCCACACTTGATTGGTGGTTTAGATGTTCAGCTGTTCTTGTAGACAAAGGCATATCCAGGTGGGAAAGTGTACCTTGACCTGCCTTTGTCTGTCTGTCTGAAGTGCTGTGAGGTGCGTGCGTGCGTGCGTGCATGTTTGAGCCTGTTCACACATGCATTGAACAGATGGAGCAAGAGGGCACCTTAACAAAGTGACTAGTGTAATTAGGTCCAGCCTGTGCAGTGAGCGTTGTGGAATAGTAATTGAGGGATGTAGAGAGCAATGCAAGAAAGGTTTTTGTTTTTAATTTTTGCTCAGAGTGCTCTTCTCCTAGAATGCCCTGCTGCATGCTTACACAGTTACACTCACTCACACGAAAGCTGCCCAGTACAATACAGCCTGATCTGTCTCTAGGAGATGGTGATTAATTGTCCAAGATTTATTCTACTGGCCTGTAGATTGAACCAGTGACTTCCAGGCACCGGAAGCAGTATCCTAAATGGAATTTAATTGCAAAAACACCA